ACTTTAAAAAAAAAAAATCACTTGTCAAAATCAACACTCAAAATCAAGAGATTTCATATAAAAACTGAGATTTATGTAACATTAAAATATACAAATATCTTCCTATCCTTCTGTGCTTTATTTTTCTACATAGTATGTATTATCATCTATACATTTTACATACTTGTTTCTTCTCTCTCCCTTCCCACTGAAATGGATATAATTCGTCTTTCTGCAATTCAAGATGATTTGTTTGTCTGTTTGCTGTTGAGAGGGTGACCAAAAGATTGCATCGAAGTGTCATAGGTAATAGGGAAGACTTCTTAATTTACTCTCTTGTTCTTGAAATTCATTTAAGGGCAAAGTCCCTCATTCTCTTCTTAGAAATAAGCCTGGTATTAATTTACTGATTCATATTGAAAATGGGGTAGAAAGGATCCTATTGCTCTTCATAATTTCTAAAATGTCTTGGAAGAACATATCTTTGTTCTTCAGATACATTACATTTCTGTCTCCTACAGGATGTGGAATGCCGCATCAACTTCACCTCAGTAATGGATGTGGTTTGTGTTCACTGGAGGAAGCATAGTGAGAATTTTATGCTTTAGATGCAGTTTTCTGATTGCTGCTTCCTACTTCATAACCCCACATGCTTCATAAAATTGATGATAAAAAGAAAGCATTTTAGCTCTTCTAGTAGATGTATTTTATTCAACAAATATTTACGGACTACTCCAGGGGATAGTATTCAGCAATATATTGCCAGTTCACATAGATCAGAGTTGCGTTTTCAAATTGTTTATGTTTTAGTCTTGTTGCTATGACACAGTCTTAATATTATAAAATTAACATGCTACTTTAAAAGTATTGTATGAATAGGTTGGCATGGGATTAGGATATGCATTAATTGTTGGTTCATTGTAGTTTTGCAAGCACTTCACAAATATCAATACAGGAAATAAGATTTGGAAAGTTATTTTTTCAACTTGTATGAATTCCAATATCACCCCACATTTGTGCTTGCTTTCAGAATATTTGATGATCACTTTACACCATGCTTATTTTACTCTTTTATATAGCACTCAGAAATAAGAGACAATAGTGGAAAGAATGCTATTATTAATTGGAACTAGAGAATTTGACTTTGTATTTTAGTTGGTCTTAATGTTTTTTTTAAGTATTTAAAATTTTTTTTCATGTTTATTTATTTGGAGAGAGAGAGAGATATCATAAGCAAGGAGGGCTAGAGAGAGAGGAGGAGAGAGAATCCACAGCAGACTCCATGCTGTCAGTACAGATCCTGACTTGGGGCTCAGTCTCAAGAACCGTGAGATTATGACCTGAGCCGAAATCAAGAGTTGGACCCTTAACCTGCTGAGCCACTTGGGTGCTCCAGCTTAGAAACTGTAATAAAAAACTAACAACCCAAAATCTTGAGTTAGGTGTTAGGTCAGTCATTCTCTGTGAGCCTCCATTTCCTAAATGAAAGTAAAAGGGGTACTTTTTTATTATTTAAATACAGGTAGAATTTACATAAAATAAAGTTACTAATTTCAATTAAATTATTTGATAAGTTTTCACAAATATATATATATA